AGAAGGACTAGAAAGAGGCCAGGGCTGAAGAAGGACCTAGTGATGGATTGGGTGACATCTTCATGTAGGCAGACTTCACTTTCCCATCTAACCTGGGAAGGCCCAGAGCAAGAGCAGGCCCTGCTCAGAGGTGGGACAATAATAGCTGCTGGGTAGAAAGTGGAGACAAGGGAAGCAAAGAAACTTCCAGATCAGTTTTTGTCTGCGTGGTTTTCAGCCAGGCCATATTGCATTTATTTCATGAAAAGCTTTAGTCTACCATGAATGCTATAAAAATTAAGGGTGGCCCTAACAACTAATATCAGAGTAAACCTTGGGATCACAGAGACTTTCCAAAGGACAAGAGCGAATTTCTGCCCTAGTACATTTACTATGGCAAATTGATTTACATTAGAAATGATTAAAGCCAGCATCATTACCTCCTGGCTTCAGGGGATACTCTAAAGGAACCAAAAAGGCAATAACAAACCAGAGTCCTAAAATGAAACACACTCCACTCCAGTTCCTGCCGAGGCCCTTACCTATCTACCACACATGCAAAAACCAGGACCCTTGTTTCATAGTCACATGTTGGAGAAGACAAAATCACCTCTCAAGCCCCCATTTTCAGCCCAGAGAACTGCCCTGGCAAGGCTAACTGCCTCTTCCTGCTATTTGGCCCAAGCATTTTGGGTCTCAGAGAGGGCAGAGACTGCATGCCTACTATTGTACTGTGGCTTGCCAGCGTGGAAGCCAGAAGGCTGATTTTCAGTGGCCTGCAACTACTACAGACTTCCTGGTGTAGGTCATGTACAGCCACCAGATAGCTTCCCTGAAAAAATATAAAAATTAAATTGCTGAGATTATTTTTTTTCTCTCTAGCCAGTTCTATGGCATCTGGCCTTCTGTTATTGGAACCCTGAAGGCTGCTAGGTACCATCTACTGGAATATTCCGAGGCACAAAGTTCTGCCAAGCCAGGCAACCAAGCCAGAGCCTTAGAGGATGATGGCACCTGAGGTAAATGCAGGGTTGCCTCATTCTTTCTAGATATTGTCCACAGTGAGCCCTACAACCCAGAAAGTCTGCCAGAAGGCCCAAGACCTTAGAACAGAGGCTCTGTTTGGCTCTACCTGAGCTTCCAATGGCAAAAGGATCATGGCCTCCCAGAGTTCTCCCTCCCTGTCTGTCTGAACGAGATTGACTTTAGGCCCTGAACATGGGCACTCCATAATCAGGGAGGACCATTTCTGGGCAGCCTAGCCTGGCCTGGTCCAGGAGGAGTAACAGCATCTGGCTTTAGAAGGTTTGGACAGCTTCAGCTTAGGAAGTCATTTCACTGGCTGTAAGGAGACACCTAAACACCACACTCATCATTTTGAAAATGTGTTCTTTGAAGAATTAGTGATGGCTTCCCAGCACCATTCTGCTGCAATAAAATGTCCTGTTGGGTGTTGAGCCATGGTTCTGCCTCAAAGAGGTGGCATTCTGGGGTGCCAGGTTAAAAGGTTCAGTGTCATTTTCCACCCCCACCCCCCAAGGTGTGGAATAAATAGCAAGGGAAGCTCTCATGGGCCTAGCACAGAAAGACTTTTTGGCCTTCTTCTCCCTTTCCCTACAAGCTTATGAGCCAAATAGTGAAGGTATCATTTGTTCCATTTTACAGAAGAGGAAACTGAGGCTGCAAGAGGGGAGATGGCTTCCTTACAAGGCATCGCCTCCTAGTCCCAATGTGAGCAGCTGAATCTTCTTCTTCTGTACCCACTCCACTGTCTTGATTGCCTCATGATCAAAGTGACAAGAAGAACAACTGGCCTGTCACCCAGGGGATGGAGAACAGAAGAGAGAAGAGTCAGTGGGAATGGACAGAGATGTACTGCCTGCCCCTAAGAGACAAAAAGCACTAATGAGAGAAATTCCAATCCAAACAACCTGGAAGCTTCACCTCATGCTTCAGGGCTCTCTCTCCCTGTGTGAGTTAGCACACTCAGCTCAGACCATGATGCTTGGATTAAACTTATCTGGCCAGGGAGGGCACCTCAACTGGCATTGACATAATTCCAGGCCATGCTCCCCCAGCTAGCATAGAGTCCTACTGTGGTGGGCAAACTGCCCAGGCCCCAAATAAGAGAGATGGAAGAAAAGATCCCCATCAGAGGGGCGATGGGAAGAGGGAGCACAGACACACTGAGGGTGGAGCCAGGACCTGGTCCCTCCATTCTAAAAAGCAATTGGAGAATGCTGTTTATACACACACACACACACAACACACACACACACACACACACACATTGATGCTGGGATAGTACTTTGATCCCAAGGAGGTCAAAAAGACAAAGTAAGAATTTTAATTCTAATAGACAGCATTACTTTTCTGGTAAAGCAAAAAAAAAAAGTGGAATTGAAAGGAATGCCCATTGGTTGGGGAAAGGCTGAACAAGTGTAAATCTAAGATTACTAGAAAGCAAAAACAAGAAAAGAGTGGTTTCTAGGGATGTGTGACTGCCCAGCACACCAGTGCTTCTTAAAAAGATAAGAGACCAAAAGAGTCCCTGGTTGTGAAAAGCACATGGCACATTTTCTCACTCTTCTCCCAGGTGCATCCACAGCACTCACATTCATTCCCTCTGTGGGAAACAAGGTTCTGTTTACTTCATTCTGTCCTCCAAGTCTTCTCATGCTCCTGCAATTCTTCCTAGCTTTCATTTTTACTTTTTTTTTCTTTTTTGTTGGGCAATGAGGATTAAGTGTCACACAGCTAGTAAGTGTTATATGTCTGAGGCTGGATTTGAACTCAGGTCTTCCTGAATCCAGGGCGGTGCTCTATTCACTGCGCCACCTAGCTGCCCCCACTAGCTTTCATTTTTAAAAGAATACTAAGGGCCGCTAGGGGGTGCCATGATTCACAGAGTGCTTGGTCTACAGTCAAGAAAACTCATCTTGCAGAGTTCAAATCTTGCCTCAGGCACCATGGAAAATGACTCAACACCAACAATAAAGAATAGTAACATTCACTTCCATTGGGGTACCACAATTTTGTAAGATTTTTTTTTACATGGCCCTGAAATGCTAGGCCAACTTCAAACCAGCTCAACAGCTCTTCTCCAAAAGACTGATGGGAGCAAGGATGTGCATGAAAGACCCACCAGGAAGCTGTGCTCACTACCACGGGAGTGAGACCTGACATCCCCGAGGGCATGAGTCCACAGAAGTACCTACAATAAGTTGATGGGTCAGACAGGGTGAGAACTGGGATGCCCCACTGGCCTCTCCTGACCATGTGTCCAATGTGAAGTTCTGAAGTTAGGGCACCATCTAATGAAGACAGGGTACCTGTAATTCTACAACAGGGCAAAGCCTGAAAATGAACTTGTCCAAATGGGAATCTTCAAGACAAACTATAATCTGATGACAAGCAACAAATATTTAGCACCTACTGTGTGCTAGGCTTGATGCTGTGAGCAACTCTAATACTGCCTGCCCTGGAGCTTCCATTCCAGTGGGAGGAGAGAAGATCATATACATACGTACTCATGGATGTACTACACATGTACATTTGTCTACACAGAATAAAAAATAGATATTCGAGAATGGAGATCACAGCATTAGGAGCTAGGGGCCAGGGCAGGATCAGGAAAGGCTTCTCACAGATGCCTCTGTGGGAATTTTGAAGGAAGAGGTGGAGTTAAGGAAGAATATTCCAGACAGGAGGGGCAGACAGTCTAAAGAAACAGAGACAAGAGATGACCTGCCATGGGAAAGGAATAGTAAGGATGCCTTTCAGGAAGGAGGGTAGCATGATGGAAGGGGGACGATGCACAATGAGGCTGGGAGGAGGGTTGATCAGGTCAGGCTGTGAAGAGCTCTCAAAACTACAAGGAAGAGTTTATAAGGGATCAGAAAGGACTCAGGGAGCCACTGTAGTTTCTTGAGGAGTGATAGGAGCAGATGCAATTCTAAGAAGTTCTCTTTGGCAGCTGTGCCTCCAGAGGATGGATGGGAGGGAAGGAAACCAAGCAGGAGCTTCTGCAACAGCTGAAGAGATGAAGATCTGAACTAGGATGATGGCTGTGTGAGAATTCAAAGGAAAAAAAAAAGATGAGAGATGGAGAAAGTGAAACCCCAAGATTTGGCAGTGGATTGGGTACTTCACCAGAGGTAGAGTAAGGATCAGTCCATCCCCAAGCATTTATTATTGGGTGAGGAGAGAGAGAGAGAGAAATAAAGGAACAGGGCGGAGCCTTCCAAGGTGGATGCCAAACCTGCAAAGGAGGCTGAGAAATAGTTTGACAAGCAGGAGAAGAGGGAGGACAGAAGGCCCAGGAGGAAGGAATTGAGGGGCCTGACAGTGTGAGTGACCATGAGGACCAAGAAAGGGCCAGCTGCTGTGGAGCGCTCAGTTACAGATGAGTGAAAGAAGTCAGATTGCAGAGGTGTGACCCACGAAGGAGACAAGAGATGGAGGCAATGAGTAGCAAGAACCTTTCTGGGGCTGGCAGCAAGAGAGAGGAGAGACATAGAAGGATTGTCTCCGGAGAGATGGTAAGATCAATTGAAAAAAGGGGGGCATATATGTGCAAAGCAAAGAAGTGATGAGTGTCTAGGGAAAGACTGAAGGAAGCAGGGCCAGGGCGGAGATAACTGAGGGAACAAAATGCTGCAGGAGACAGGAAAGAAAGAGAGCAACAGCTGGTCTGCTGAGAAGAGTTGCCTCTCATCAGAGCCTGGGGAAAAAAGGAAAGAATGGGTAATGGTGTGAAAGGGTTCAAGAGTGGAGAAGGGGAGGAATAAGAGTTTAGTGATAGAGGACAGCAAGCCTCCAGCCAAGAGGGGAGTGAAGGGTTACAAGAGGCCATGTTCTTCACTGGTCCAATCATGTATTACAGATGAGAGCTCTGTGAGGCTAAGAAACTCTACCCTAACCTTCAGCCTTTCGAAGGAAGGTCCACTGTCTGTTTCTTTGTGGAAATCAATCAACATTTAATAAGCACCTACCATTATGTGTGTGAAAAGTACTGGGGATACAAAGAGACAAAAGACCCTGCCTTCAAGGAACTTAAGATCTTACAGGAGAGACAATAAGCAAATAACAATGCCCCACTTAGAAAATAAACTTCTTGAAAACAAGGTCTAAAAATACTTTTTGATTCTTTGCTTCATGTAATACACGAGCCACATTTCATTTAGAGCCCAAACTAAAGACTGGAGTATAATAACAGCTAGAAAGCCTGAGCTCTCATTATCTCCATGTGAGCACTTTGGCCCTTTGCAGCAAATGGCCCAAACACTGACAGGGAAAAGTGTCTGATTACCTCCTCCATTACACAGCACAGAAATCCTGCCTTTCATGCTGGGTATGGCCCATGTCGGATCTCAGCAGGGATAGTAGGTTCATCCCTTCCTCATGCTCTCGTTCATGCCATTCCTGAAGCTGTTCCAGCTCCCCATGAGCCTCTGCTACTTCATTACTTAAGGACAAGACTTTTTCTTTCAACTGTCGGGAAGGAGACATAAAAACAACAGACACTCAGGGAATCATCACTGAAATGTGCTGCTGCCCCCCAGGAAAGAAGCTTCCTGAAACACTGCCCTGAAATGGTCTTCCAATGACAAAGTCAGGCTGTGCTGCTCCAGGCTTCCAAGGCAAGGCCTGTCTTTCAACACCATGGTCAACAAATGAGGCAGTGGCTCACCCACTCTGCTTTTCTGGTGGTTTCTCTTTCCTGAGTCACTATGTCAAGATAACACTAGCTACTAGCTCTACCCAAAATACACAACCACACACACTCACACACACACACACACACACACACACACACACACCCCACATTATTAACAAAATTCTTCTATGAACAAGGTTACTGAACCCAAAATTTTATGGGGAGTGCAATGAAAACACAGCCCCAAAAGCCTCTTCTCTGGTGCATAAAGACCATCCTGAAAACAAAATAAAGTGATAGCAATGGCTAAAACACTCCCCTAGCACTAGCTAGAATCAGTTTGGACTTGAGCAGAACAGGTGTGGTGGAGGTCACTTTAGCATCTGAATGGTGAATGGACTAGAGCAAAGAGAAAATTGAGGAAGGCAGATTCCCCAGTAGCTATTGCAATAGTCTACAACTGAACTGATGAAGATCTACACTAGAGTGGGAATAGAGTCAGAGGACAAAATGGGGCATTTTGGAGATATGCTGCAGAGGTGAAACAGAGAAGAGTTGCTGTAGAGGTGAGGTTGGGTGAGGTGAGGCCAAGGAGAGGTTGAGAAAAATGGGGATTGAAAAAAAAGGCAATTAAGAGATTACTAGTGACTTTGGAGAGAGCAGTTTCTATGGAATGATAAGGTCAGAAATCAGAGCAAGAGGGGAGGAAGAGAATCTAAACCTGGGGTAGATGGGGCCCCTGGGAGTTAATCTCCAAAAAGGAAGAGGTGCTCAGGGGAATCCAAAACCCCAAATTGGCCGTGCATCTTTATCCCTTTGGAAGGGCATCCTATTCAGTTCAGCCTCAGGCTGGCATAAATTTAGGGGGCCTTAAGACAGCCATCAGAGCCTCAAGTATCTCAGGGAGTTGTGATGAATAAATTTAAAAGACATTCTGAACTTGCTCAGTAGGTCTGCAATAGGACCCTGCCTCTTTTTTCTTGTTAATCTTATTCCTAGCTAGATGTTGAAGGACTTGATGGGATTTGCTCCCAAGAAGGGCTGGCCACCCCTCCAGGAACTGTATATTCATAAACAGGAATACTCTCAAGGATAGTTTTGAAAGCAGCTCCTTTCACACAGATCACATATTTTTGGCAAACTGCCTTCTTAGTTAGAAGGAACTACTAAAGGCAGGTAGTCCTGAATTATCTTTGAAGTCTGCCCTGAGGTGTGGACACCTAGCCTGGGATTTTCCCCTTGGCACTCTGGATGCTGAAAAATGGGACTCCCCAGGCCAAGTGATCCCGATGTAGATGGTGCCTCTGATGGTGATCATTGACTATGACAAGATTTGATACCGATTGAGACTTAAGTATATTATTGTTACCTACTGGGACTTACTAACTCTAACTCTATTTTATTAACTAATCTTAATACTATTTTACTATCTTAATAATAAATACCTTTACTATACTTATCAAACTTGAGACTGTGTCATCTCTGAAACCAATCAAAACTGAAAATAATTGAAGCTGCAGTAAATAAGGCTGCCTAGCAATACAGGAGCTTCGAGCTCCATGCAGGCATTCTGAGGTGTGTAACAGAACAAGCACTAGACATGGAGGCCAGGAAGCCAGAGGGACTCATCTGAACCAACAACAGGCTGAGCACTGGGTACACATAACCAGAAATAACAGAGTCTCTGCCCTCTGACAGCTTCCCTTATACCCAAGGAGAACAAGCAAAGAGATAAGGAGGTTCCAAATGTATAGACAATGACTTGGGGCTAATATGAATAACTGTGTGAACCTGGGTGACCTTAGCAAACTCACACAAACACAGAAGAAGGGAGTCCAGTCAATCCATGGATTTAGCAAACATTTACAATGTTGATGTCAAGCAGGGCACTGTGCCAGGTGCTGCAGTGACAAGCATCAAACCTTCCCTCATGGAGCTTATGCTCTAGGGCCAGGCAGGCTTACATACTGAGGGTAGAAATAATGTATACAACTGGCCATTCTGCAGGGGGTGGGGTGGGTGGGGCAAAAGGCAGCCCTCACACTTAAAGGAATCAGAAAAGAGAAAAGGTCTCATGGAGAGTTTGAAAGGCCCCTCAGACATGAGAAACAGCTGGTACAAAGGAAAGAGATGGGATGAGACTAAAAAGGCCAATTTGGCTGGACCCTAGAGAATGGGAAGGGGAGTCATGTAGAATAAGAACGGAATGGCAGCTTGGGCTGAGCTTGTGAGGGACTTGAGAAGAGTTGTTTTGCTTTTTTTGTTTGTTTCTTTGTTTCTTTATTTTGCTGATATCTAAAACATTCATTAAAAATGGACAATATTACTGTTCAAACTTCATATAAGAGAAAGTTCAAAAAAAAAAACTTAGACAAAAACTCAAATATGACTTCACCAGGTCATGCCAAGTGGGGAATGACACACCTCTTTTGCACTCAGTGCTGCCTCTCCTCAGTCTCTGGGCAGACAGTAGCTGTGGTGTTGATAGTAGTAGGTGCAGTGTGTCGCTTAACTCTGATGAAAAGAGTTCTTGCAAAGTGAAAACTTTAGATGAAATGCTTCAGGAAAAGATGGGGAAGAAGAAAGAAGAGAAGCAGAGGTAAAACACAAGAACATTCTGGTGATAGGGATTCCAAGTGGGATTTTGTTGAAGAGGGAAAGGTGAGAGGTCATCCCATGGAGCTAACAATTAGGAATTCATCTTTTAGGAAGGCAGATTCTATGGAAGATGAAGAAGGTGACTCCTTGACCATCAAAATACCCCAGCCAATATCCATTAAAAAAAAAAAGCTCATCACAAGAAAGATGAGAAAAGGAAAGAGAAAGGTGGGCATCACAGCCAGGGTGAAAGAGTGAAAACATGAACTGTAAAAAAGGCATTGGGCAGGAGGAAGAAGGGAACAGAAGGAATGGAAGAGATTCAGAGGAAGCACAAAGAGCAAAAGACCAGAAGAGAAGTTTCTGCTCATCACAGAAAAGTATGAGAAGATTATGAAGACAAGTTCAAAGAAGTCATGGACATTAACGCCCCTTATGCCAGAAGCCAGGGATTTCAGTGAGGGCATGGCAGGAAACCAATCAAAGTGGAGAAACTGGAAGAGCTGGCCTCTTTGCTTGGGGCAGATAGTACTCAGGCATCTTCCTGCAAGAGTAAGGGGAGGGAGTTTGTCATATGGCCCACCCTGGCCTGGAGTCAGCGAACAAATAAAACCAATGCAGCCAAGGTTGAAGGAAAACAGGAAATGAGAAAAATATTTTGCACCAAGTTTGTCTAACAAAGGCCTCACTTCTCAAACATATAGGGAACTGAGCAACTCTTTAAAAATAAGAACATTCTCTAATTGATAAAAGTCGAAGAATATGAACAGGCAGTTTTCAGACAAAGAAATCAAAGTTAGCAATAGTCACATGGAAAAAATGCCCCACAATGGGGAGAAGATTGTGGGAAGATGGCAGAGTAGATTAGAAATGTCAAACCCTTAATATTTTCCTCCACAAAAGAGAGAAAATAGCACCTCTGGGCGAACTTTGATTCATGAAAACAAATAAGAATACTGGCAGAAGAGAAGTCCTCCTGGGACAATTGGAGAAGATGTGAAGAAAAATCCCAGGAGGAGATTTCTTCCCTGTGAAGAATAAACACTCTAGGCTAGGATGCACTTTAAGAGCAAGCAGCAAGTCCTGGGGTTAGTGGGTTTGGGAGGCTGCCTCTGCTCCCAGGGACTTTTACCCCAGGGACAGTGAGGGGAGTTGGGTATCCATCCTGGGGGAGACTGAGGGAACCTCTGCTGACAATAACACCAGACCCAGCTGCGCTGTGGAGATGGAAACACAGTGGGGCAAGAAGGAAGTAGTATACTGCAAGTGAGTGCAGAAGCAGTGAGGTGGGAAACCGCTAGTTGTGGGCAGTGACAGGGGGCTGAAGGTCTTGCTTTGAGTTCAAGGTTGGAAGGCAGAACTGAAGAGGATTAGAGGACAAAGGCACCATCCCCCATACCCCAGGACAAGGGGTGATTATAGTGGAACACTATATATGGAAGAGCAAAAGAAGTGGGCTTCTGGCCGAAAACATCATACTCAGTAAAAGTAAGCATAATTCTGAATGAAAAAGTGAACATTTGATCAATTGTCACACTTTCAGATCTTTGTTAAAAACGACAACAACAACAACAAAACAAAACCCTGAACTCAGTAGAAGATTTAACATACAAGAGCCAAGAGAAATATAAAGTACATACCAATGACCAATTATAATGGACTAAATGAGGATAGAATGTTTACCTTTTATGTATGAAAAACATAAAACCCATGTCTAAGATTGTTACTAGGTAACTTATAAGGAAGATCGGGGTAGACCTGAGTATGATATGAGTACAAAAAGTAAAACCACTCAGGTACAGCTGAGAGTAATTATCTTTTACAAATGAGGTGCAAGAAGAAGAACGAGACACAAGAATTAGATGGGGAGAGGGGCTGTAAATTGTGGAAACCTACTCTCACTGGGAATGGGTTTAACAGGGAAAATACACAAACATTTAGAAGAGTATAAAAATCTTCTAAATTTAGAAAGAAATAAAACTCTAAGGGGATAGGGAGTTGGGAGAGGATAAAGAAGGGATCTTTAGTTGGGAATGTGTGAGAATAGGTTAAAAGAGGAATATGGAAAGGGGTTTAGATTTAGGGTAAAGGATAGGGGAGAGATTGCGGAGTGGGGGGTAGGTTAAGTAATAGGAGGGTAAGGAAGAAGGTAGAAGTAAAATAGAGGAGTTAGGAGAGATAGGAGAAAGGAGATATGCAGAGGCAGAGCCAAAATGGTGGAGTAAAAGCAGTTACG